GGTGAGAGGAGCTGCTCTGCAGCAGCTTCTGCCCAGTGACTTCTTTGTGTTGTGATTTGGGGGAAGTTACTAGCGTGGGACTGAAAGCCCTTGTGTCGCAGAGCACTGAAGAACCTGTGTAGCCCAACTGCTGTCTCCCTTGCAGAACTCGTACGTGGTGCTGGCCGGCTTGTCGGACGGACTCGTGGCGGTGTTCTCGGTGTCCCAGGGCATCCCGGGGGACAGCTGCTCTTACCTCTGCTCCCACACGGCAAACAGGTCCAAATTCAACATCTCGGACGAGGACCCGCGGCAGAACCCCTACCCCGTGAGGGCCATGGAGCTGACCAACAGCGGGGCCGAGGTGTGGTACAGCAACGGCCCCGGCATCCTGGTCATCGACTGCGGCGCCATGGAGATCAGCAGGAGGCTGGAGCCCTTCAGCCCGCCCTCGGCCATCGCCTCCCTCGCCTGCACCTCCGAGTGCCACGGCGAGGAGGTGGTGTGGTGCCTGGATGAGAAAAGCAACTTCCTGGTGATGTACCACGCCAGCACCTACCAGCTCTGCGCCCGCTACTTCTGCGGGGACTGCAGCCCCCTCAGAGACATGTTCACCATCCAGCAGCCTGCGGCAGCCATCCCGGCCACGGCGCCCCTGGGCCACGAGCCGGCCCAGAGCGACCTGCTGGAGGAGCTGAGCATCATCTACAGCCCCGAGGTCGGCACCCAGATACTGAACCACCAGGACTCGCTCACAGATTACTGCTCCGTGTCCTCCTGCTCCTCCTCGCCTCCCAACGTGAGAACCCGCTGCCCCTCCAGCCTGCCCAGCTCCCCCCTGAGCTCCTCCAGCGCGCTGCTCTCCACGGATTTCGAGGAGTCTGACAAATTTCAGGAGCTGAAGCCTTCCCTGGATGACGATGCTGTGCCTGCAGGTGACAACACACAGCATCTCCAAGCTGTCAAGGTTCTTCCAGTGAAGGACCTCATATGGATCCCCAGGTAAGCGGGCACTTATCGAAGCAACTTTGTCAGAGCCTGAGTGTGAGATTAGCTCAGGCTAATTCAGAAACTTTGGTGTTTCCAGAATGATCCACCTGCCTGGAAAGTCAAGTTAGCATTAAGAAATTTTGTTCCCAGTGTAGTGGTACACTGATTTTTCTACTTCTTTTTAAAGCCACCTAGTGCTGAGTAGAATGGCCACATCTAAGGTCTTGCAGGACTGGTTTCTACAGAAGAGAAATGTGGGTGCTAAGACTGGGAGCCCTGTTTTCCCAGCTACTGAGGAGGTAAAGAGGAGCAGGCAGCTTCCTTGCTCAGACACAACTCTGGCACGTCCTCTTCTCTTGCTGCTGGAAACCACCAGGAATCTGATTTTGCCTGTCAAGGGCTCTCACTGCAGTGGCTTCAGGATGCCCCTCAGTGGGGCTGTAGCAGAGAGGGTAGAAATCCAGCGTGGCTCTTCCTCAGCTGTCAGCAGTGCCCCTTGCTGAGTGACATCTCCCCGTGTCTCTTGCAGGAGGGGAGGGGACATCATTGTCATCGGCCTGGAGAAGGAATCCGGCACGCAGCGGGGCAGAGTGATCGCTGTGCTGAAGGCTGGAGAGCTGGCTCCCTATGGGTGAGGCTGGCTGGGCAGTGCCCACCACACTGGTTTCCAGAAGGGGACTGGGTGGCTCTGCAGGGTCCCAGGGCTCGTGGGAGCTTCCAGCAGCACGTGAGGAGCTCCCAGCCAGAGGAGACGTGGCTGCTGGTTGCCCATCAAGTCACATCACACTCTGGCAGCGTGACGGCAGTGGGGGGAAGGCACCACGGCCACCATGTGGCCTCCAAAGCCCAGGGAGCAGGTAGCCCCACAGTGAGAGAGGCAGGACCGCCTGCAGGGCGGGGTAACCACGGACCTGATCCCGGGGGCACCTGGCAGAGGGTGGGTGGAGCTCAGTGGGCACGCCCGGGCACTGGGAACAGGAGGGGTGTTTGTGCAGAGCACGGCCCTGCCCCTGGCCACGCTGCCCTGACCATGTGGCCTCCAAAGCCCAGGGAGCAGGTAGCCCCACAGTGAGAGAGGCAGGACCGCCTGCAGGGCGGGGTAACCACGGACCTGATCCCCGGGGCACCTGGCAGAGGGTGGGTGGAGCTCAGTGGGCACGCCCGGGCACTGGGAACAGGAGGGGTGTTTGTGCAGAGCACGGCCCTGCCCCTGGCCACGCTGCCCTGGCTCAGGGAGAGGCTCTGGCTCTAAATGGGCACTTTGTGCTGGGGGTGGGGGTGGCTCCTGCAGCCCCCGGGGAGAGCTCCGTGTTAGTGCAGAATCCTTCCTACAGGGCATCCAAACAGCTGCTAGAGAGGTGGGGGGGGTCCTGCTGATCACTTATACACCAGGCTGGGATTGTACTATTTATGGCCAAACAAATGAGGTTAAGAAGCACTAAGGGTTATAAATGATCATTTATTACCACTGAGCAAAGACAGCAAGAGACCCAAGTGCTCCTGCCCTTCCTCTACCTGCAAACTCTGTGTCTTTACCAGGTAGCTGGGAGCAGAGTGCTCTCTTCAGCATTCACAGCTACTCTTGGGTTGATTTTGCTTTACCCACAAGAAGTGTGGAGTTGAGGCGAGGTGACAGGGCCATCTCAGACTTGTCCTCTGCTGCCTGGCAGCCTGGCTGGTTCTGGAAGATGAGACAGTGTGTGTCCAGGTGGCCAAGAAGGCCACCAGCAGCCTGGCCTTGATCACCACTAGTATGGCCAGCAGGCCTAGGGGGGGGAATGTTTCC